CATCTTTTTTGACACTTAGACTATGCGAAAATAGGGGGATTGCATATTTTGCTAAAATTTTATTCCAAAGGCCTTTACTGAGTGTATTTTGATAGCGTTTTAATTCTGTCTGATTCTGTCACAAAGTTTCAAAATGTTTGATTTCTTGGGACACAAAGGGTTAACTAAGTTTTATTTAAACAGTGGTTCATAATTTATTCATTAATTATTAATTTATTTCATTTTCGGCTTGTGAAAACACCAAAAGATTTACAAGACGTTCGATTTGAGGTTATAATTATAGAGTTACATCCCTTAGAAGAACAGACGTACTAGTGTAATGCTATCTCTTTCTAACACACATTACTCTCTAGGGGTTTGTGAATTTTAATTTACTACGTATGGCATTTGTAACAGCGGAAAACGATGATTTACTGCCAGCTCTCGTGGCGTCTACTATAGCTAAAACTAATCAATGGTAAATATTCGATAAAAATAAATAAAGTATGGATGATTATCCTTTATGATTTTCTCGTCGACAAATTTTCCCTATTATCCAAAATGTTTAAAACAACCTCAAATTATAATTAATAATGTGGAAATAATGGCTAAACGGGAAAACCCGAAAACCTAAACAACCCATAAACCCCTGATAATAAAACTTTGGTTTTTGCCTTTCGCTCCATAAATACAGATCGTAAATCTCTGGAAGGCTTATTAAAGATTTTCGCTGCCAACTCTAACTCCAAACAGTAGCAGTAAAATCTGTCGAAACCTTCCCATCCAATAAGTGTTTCCATTCAAGATTATCTTCGGGGGTCGACCACTTAAGGCCAGTTCTCGTTAGTACAAACATTAAATTACCGGAAAGTTTCGTTTCCTCGACATTGTCGATCGCGAGCACGAGCCGAGTTTGAGTAAACAGATTCGAACCCTCGTAAACACGATAATTAGATCCTCTTTCAGACGGCCATAGGCGTCCGGTTTCGGTCCTTAAATTGAATTTTCCGTTTAAGTACAACTCGAAACTGTAAACCAGACGTTGTAATCTTCTTGTTGCGCGGTCTATTTTTTTACTATCACGAAAACCAAGGACAAAGACGTTCTATTATCATGAAGAAACTTTTATAATTACAATTCTGAGACACCCGGTTATGTTCTTTGCGCGAAATTACATCTCTAGTAATATAATAATAAAATTTTACTGTGAGAAGTTTTAATGGGTTGTTTTAAAACTAGATAACTAAGGGTTATTAAATTGTTAACGAGAAAGGTTTTATTCTACATATATACGAATTCATTTTTAATTTGTTATGTTTTGTATTAAAAATTAATGTTAAAGTTGTAGTGAATTTAATTTATACACTCGGACTCTTTCATTATTTACATTTCTTTCCACATAAAGAATTTAACAACGAATTTTACGTCGAAACATTTATTTACTTTTAACTAAAAAGACAGCATTTCGCTTTGAATTAAAATTGATAAAAGATGCGTAAACGAAATGAAAGCAAAGTATGAAAGAAAAATCAAAAGATAACTAATAAAGCAACGCTTTCATAAAGAAAAACAAATCAAAGAAGGAAAAGGAAACACGTTTAACCGTGTCATCTTATTCGACGACACTATACGCGAAATCTAGTGGCAATATTTTCACACGTACCTCGACACCTTACGTCTATAGAAGCAGCCTAGGGTCAAAGGTCGCCTCTAGCGTATAAAATTGTCATCGTAATTCCAATTTCCCGAAGTAGAAAACGCCAAAGGCCTTTGTGGGAGTTAAGGGTTGGTAGTATCGAAACGAATTCGCTTTTCCATTGACTACTGCAACCTCATTTTTCTAACTTTGTAGATCACTACATTTTAAACGTTAATATGTTTATAGTATTTTAGACTGCAAAGGACTTATTTATAATAAAATACCTGTTATACAACTAAAATGGTTTCTGAAAAATTTAAACCTCTTGAATTCGAGGTTTACAAAAATTAAAATTCAAATTACAAATCCGAATAAAACCTGAATTGCACCTCGGGAATTTATTGGAGTGGATTTTTGCCCGGGGACGGTGAACGGCTCGGAAAATTGCCAAACAGGGTTTCCGCCAGATGTCGTCGGGACAAATTCGTCCCTCTCTGCCTAATTAAATATATAAAGCGCTAAGGGGTAACGGGAAATGCCCGAGGACTACTACGGGTGGAGGTGAATATGCAAATGTGGATTTCGACGTCCGCGGACCTCGTCCTTTTTTATCAGTGCCTCAGTCTGTTTGTTTTCCATTTTCGACCCATCGCACGTACCCCCGGGTACACAATGTTTTAGTCAATATTCCACTGTGTGTCGTCAGCTTGTATTCACAACAAATTTTACTCTGGTTTGCCCAACTAACACCGACTATTTTATGAAATAACCCAGATTTATTAAATAATTTTCATTAAACGAATGAACCCGGAGTAAATTTCTAAACAAATTAACCCAAAAGAAATAATCAACCGCGATACACTAAATACCGTGAGACCACTAACAATGTGTCGTCATCAAGCAGAGTAGGGTAAACCTCACACAACCTTTAACCAACAATAAAACGGACGGTCTGGGGAGCTGCTTTAGAGTGTACCGTCGGGGCAGTAGTAATCGGCTCATCGCTTCGTCGCGACCGCCAACTCTCTTTGCCGCACAGGAAAAGCCAAATTATAACTAACCCTCTCAAAGAGGGCTCCTTGTCGCAAAGGGGCCAGAAGCGGCTCGATATTAATGCCATTTTCATGTTTCAGCTATCCCGCGCCCTCAGGGAGTACGTGACGCCATTGCAAGATGCCAAGATAATCCATTACGAGTGAGTCGGGCCGTATAAATACATTATATGCCCTCTAGCTGTATGAATAAGAATTGTTATATGAATACTTGATGATGGTGGCGGCGGCAGCGATAGAACGCGCTGCGTCGCCGCTGCCCCCGTTACGCATCAAAAGCTAGGTTGCTGACAGATGTAGATTAGGCTGTTTCCGATTTGTAGGTATCCAGGGAAATGTACTGGTTATAGTAACCTAGACACATACATTAAAAGTAATGTGTGTGTTTGACACCGATAGCAAATTCAGCTTATTCTCGATTTAATTTAATATAACGATACCTATCAATAGAAAGAAAAATTCGAGTTTAATCGCCTTGAGAGTTCTAGGTCTAGTGTTAGTTCTAGTTTTACACTAACACTATCACTAGAACTAACACAAGACCTAGAACTAGAATCATTTGGGTTTAGCCGCACGTCTCTAAAGACGGGTAAACCCGAATGATTCTAGTTCTAAGTCTAGTGTTAGTTCTAGTTTTACACTAGCACTATCACTAAAGACGGCTAAACCCAAATGATTCTAGTTCTGGGTCTTGTGTTAGTTCTAGTTTTACACTAGCACTATCACTGGAACTAACACAAGACCTAGAACTAGAATCATTTGGGCTTAGCCGCACGTCTCTAAAGACGGCTAAACCCGAATGATTCTAGTTCTAAGTCTAGTGTTAGTTCTAGTATTACACTAGCACTATCACTGGAACTAACATAAGACCTAGAACTAGAATCATTTGGGTTTAGCCGCACGTCTCTAAAGACGGCTAAACCCGAATGATTCTAGTTCTAAATCTAGTGTTAGTTCTAGTTTTACACTAGCACTATCACTGGAAGTAACACAAGACCTAGAACTAGAATCATTTGGGTTTAGCCGCACGTCTCTAAAGACGGCTAAACCCGAATGATTCTAGTTCGTTTTACACTAGCACTAACACTGGAACTAACACTAGAATCATTTGGGTTTAGCCGCACGTCTCTAAAGACGGCTAAACCCGAATGATTCTAGTTCTAAGTCTAGTGTTAGTTCTAGTTTTACACTAGCACTACCACTAGAACTAACACAAGACCTGGAAACTAGAATCATTTGGGCTTAGCAGCACGTCTCTAAAGACGGCTAAACCCGAATGAGTCTAGTTCTAGGTATAGTGTTAGTTCTAGTTTTACACTTGCACTGTCACTAGAACTAACATTAGACCAAGAACTAGAATCTTACGAACGTTACCTTTTCCAAGCACAACTTTTCCTTTGCAAAACTACCAAATGCTTGTATAATAGAACATATTAAGCTATGTTGCATTTTATGTGGGGCAGTGAAAGTGCTACTATGTAGTACGTAAAGTAGTTGCGTAACTATGGTTACTGCATTCATATATTACGAGTTATGCCCGGTTCACATTATTCCAATAGCATTCCAGTCCAGCACTGGAAACCTACTCTGGAATCTATCTATTCTAGTAAGCAATCCACTCCACTACTTTTTCATTCCAGCGTGACTGGAATAGTGTAGACCGCCAATCCAGTGCTGGATTGCGAATTTTTAACGAATCGATTAAGAATCCACTGGACTGGATTGACTAGCTGGATTACTAGACTGGAATAATGTGAACGATATGATCCAGTCCAGCACTGGATTTGATTGACTCGCTGGAATACTGGACTGGGCATTATATGAAATTCCCGCTATATTTATTTTTATTAATTTTAATTTCACAATTATAATTTGCTAATTACAATCAATAAAATGTTAAAGAAAAGAAAAATATTTTCAATCATACGTGATTATAATCTTCATCACGTTTTCGCCTGGAGATCTCTATATATTTTTTTTTATATTACAGGTCTCTCCAATCAGGCGCAGAGCTAACGTACCGTTTTTCAAGCAGTAGGAGAGACGAGAAAAAGATCAGGGCTAGTGTCGGAAAGTGGAAAGAACACGGTCACGTCGGAGGCATGAATCTAACTCACAAGGATACTGTGTCCTTCTCCACCGATCCCCTCATATCCTTGCAGGTGGGTCACCTTTCATATTTTATTCATAACGTTTTATAGATATTATACGATTTTTACATTTTCCGTTCGTATTTCCAGTATTAATTAATTCGAAACGAGAGAGCTACTTTTTTTCCTTGAATTTTATTTGTGACTGACCGTATCCATCGAGTCGGAGAATTTATCGTAAAAGTGCAGAATCGTATAAACATGCACGTAGCGCGCTCTTGTCCCGATTTATGTTTCATCGATTAGTTTACAATGCAAATTTATGCTTAGCTTCGAATTTCGGCGCTTCGCCCGAAATTCCACTGAAAATGAGCGCCCGCCCGCCCGGCAAAAACAAACTGTTACATCGCGTAATTCGACCTGTTTGACATGACCCTGTCACGTCTAGGGGAATATTTATAGGGCCCATGTAGCGCGTTCGTCCGTTTATCCGGCGATCATCCGGCATGGCCGAGTTATGAATTTAATCAGTTGTCCCGCAACGGGCAGCTATCGTAAATTTAACTTTTTCACGATGATGCTAAAAGCTTCGGATTACGATCATATCGCCCTAATAAAATTCAATATTTGTCAATGGTTCAAAACAAATACCTAATTTAGTAATGTAATCGAATTAAATTGTAATTTTATGACAATAAGCACGATTCTTTTATTAATTAATGTAAATGACATGGATATTTATTACGAATTGAATTATTAAATGTTAATTGAGTTGTTGACGTGATATACCAACAATAATCAAAATCACAATTTCCTAAAAATGAACTAATTAATTTATGATTTCTCTTTGATTTCTATTACTTTTGATATGTTTACATCCATTTTTATTTTTGGTTTATATTATAGGGTATTAATATCAACCAAGTTGGTCCAATCCGAGAAAACAACGACTTCATCTTATCCTGCGTAGCAAAAGGATCGCCGAATGTAGTTTTCAGATGGTTCAAAGACGGCGTTTTTGTTAACGTCAGCACCTCTTCTAGGCAAGTATAAAAGGATGTCCGCCTTATCCTCAAGGACCTTTTCAGGTCGTCCCTATTTTCCTCTACAATCCCATATTTCGCAACGAGGGAAAACATGTTAACCACATTCCCGTTTCTTTATCTCGCCTCCTTTTAACGGCATAAAAACACCCACGGTTGTCGAGGCGACACGATTACGCTGATATGGTTAGTGTAACAAAGAATACAAAAAAAAAGAGTAAAATCACATCTCTTCGGAGTCGGAGTGCTAAATGATGCATGAGAAAAAGATATTTTCCATTAACTTATTTTGAAGTTTTAACCCCTTTGAGTGTCAAAGGGTATTGAAAAATTACTGTTGAAAAACCTGGAGCTGCTCCACCGCGCTTTCATAAATGAGTACGAAAAGATCCATTCTGCACGATAGTAATCAGACGTAGTACTCGATAGTGATTTAATGTAAATTTAACGGGTAACTTTGGAAACAACGAAAATCAAGAAAAACTCAAGAATTAATACATGAACAGCAACAACATCTACACTACAACACCACAATACCGTATTTTCTCGAATTTAATCCGCACCTTTTTTACAAATTTTACATGCTCTAAAATCAAATGCGGATTACAATCGGGTACGGATTAGATTCGTCGTATAGTTGCAATTTGGAAAATAGTAAAATAAAATCACATTCCAAAGTATTGGTTATACAAAATTTCTTAAATGATGTTATAATATTGTTTTTGTAATTCGCGACGGTAATGAAAGCTATTACAGTACTCAAACGGGTGCTGTAATGACACTCTTTACAGCATCCGATGCTGTAATGAGATTTTAGTAACATTTTNTAATTAAGCACACACCACGTTCGAGCTGCTACGAGGGCAGTATATGAACTGAATTCGTGCTAGGCAATACTATTTATTTTTAAAATCATATTTATATTCCAATTTTTTCTGGCTTGATAAATTTAAAGTCTAGTCTAATAAAAACTCGTCATAAACAAGGTTTATTTAGGTGCATTAGCGTCAGTCAACGGAAAAAATATATATTTATGGTTAAGAACAAGCATCACATCGCTTTGGTGTTGTCGAATTCCTCAAAGAAAGATGCGGATTACATTCGCAAACTAAATTTTTTTACCACTATGAATTTTTAAAATCGGAGTGCGGATAAGATTCGAGAAAATACGGTAGTTATAAAAGGCAAAGAGAAGAGGAAAAAGGAAGCAACGTGGTTTGATAAAGAATGCAGAAAGACGATAGAAAAACTAAACACACCGTACAAGAGTAGTATAACAGTACTATATAGGAAGAAGAACAAAAAAAAAGCAGAAGCAAGAATANATTATCTAAGTACATATCAGAGATATTTTTATGCTGTAAAAGCGTTTGAAAACTGCTGTAGTATAACTTTCCTTTATTGAACACGGCTACTACATAGTCTTTTGGCAATTTAAGTGGCATTGTAACGTTGTTGTTGGTAATAAAGGAATGACTTTTCTGGCTGATTGTCAAATTTTGTGTTAAATTGTGTTCAATTTTTGGGACTCTAAAGTTAGAGAATTTTTCTATATATTTTACTGTTTTTCGTAGAATATAAGGTGTCCCCGCCCAAAATCTGCGCCGCCAAAACTATGTTAGGCTCTACTCTAAGAGATCTTTCTAATGAGCTATTAATCATTAAAATCGATACACAAACAAAAAAGTTTTTTTTATGGATGGAATTTATGGGTAACTTCACACTGGTACAAATCTTTTATAAATTCATTTTAAACTATCTATATCTGATAATATAGCATAGATTTATCAGTATATTTTCAAATAACATGATATTACATATATTAAACCACAAAGTTGATACGTATTTATTTATGATATTATTATCTTGTCGCTATTATTTATTTTTGATTGGAAAATAAAACTATACCGATATTGTAAAGTAAATATCGATTTTACAGCAGATATCGCAAGGTTCGGATTTCATACCACTCTTGGGGATTGTATTTCATCGAACACGTTCGATACGAAAGACCCCACATTGTAGTAAATATAAAATAGGAATTACATAGGCTCAGAAGCCGATATCAATAATTCAACAACTAAATTTTTAACCAAACTTTTCATAAAATTCGATAATTTTTAATTTACCAAACTTATTAAAGCACAAAAACAATTATTTAGTATGTACTCCAAAACCCATTTATTTGCGTTCATTGAAAGATTTACAGTTTATCGAACTTTTGTGCTTACTCAGAAACAATGGCTATTGCCAACTTTAAGATTTATTGCTCGAATGGACGGTAACTGATGTAGAACTACTACATTATATCGAGATGACACAGTAAATATAAATGATTTTGAACAGGAATTTATTAAAACATAAATCTCGTGTATCCCAAACCAAAAAAAAAATTTTTTTCACACGTAAATAACAAATCTTTTATAGGCGCACATGTTGACATCAACCTTTTACACCCTAAAAAGGGGAGACTTCCCTAAAACAAAAGAAAGGAAATATTATCGCAGAAATACACGATGACTTGATGCAAAAGGGTTGTACATTTTTTACACCCCTCTGTAAACAGGGTGCTACACCGAGTGGCAAAAAGCAACACACTGTGATTGATATTCGCAGTAAACGTCGGCTGAAGGATCATTTTTTCAGCTTCTGGGCCAAAGAGTTGTTCGAAATATAACCTGAAAATGCGCCGCATGAAAAATGGTTGCGATATTTCACCGCTAACGTAATAAAAACAATAACCGGATGTACCATAAATCTCTTTCCGTCCTGCGGAAGGTCAATTAAGGACCACCGCATTAGGTGCATCGAGATAAACGGTCCGCCTCTACGGTCGAGCTTTAAATCGCTGTTCAACGCCAAAGTTAAACTTTAACATTTACGGTAGTTCTTTTTAAAAACTTTCTTTATCCACAAATAAGTTTATTATTAAGTAAGTTAAGGAAATTATTGGAACAATCTGTAATATCCCTATGTAAATAAGGTTACAACACACGGCAAATAGTTTCAGAGGGATCCGAAATCAAACTGTCGTACAACTACTAACTACTATTGAACAGCAATCCAAATCTGTCGTGTATAGACTAATGCGTTTATGTTATCGAGATTACAACCGAATTAATTCTACATTTCGTTTAATATTTTTTTCCCCAATAACAACTACAATTGATTCGCTTTGATTTGGTACCAAGCGATTTCCAATACCTGTGTAATCTCTTGCAGCGGTTACAAATGGTCTCGACTAATAGAGGACCCGAACGTAAAGGACCAATATACCGAGCTCCTCGGGGTCGACAAAGCTTCGGCACTCGATCAAGGCCTATTCACGTGTCAAATAGTGGACCACGGCGTACAACAATGCCTCTCGAAGAGGGTAGAGGTGAGGTCGCCACCTCTCGTTTGGGTTGAGCCGATGAGTCTCACCGTGAGAAAGGTAAAAGCCTCCTTATTACGACGCGATATTGACTTTGTCGGGAACTCCACTTCTGCGAAATCGACTTGGTCACGTCTTCCTATATTCTGTCTGTGTGTTTTCAGGGAGAGAATTTCACGGTGAAATGTTTCAGTGCCTCTAGCGGCAAGCAGAAAATTAAATACACGTACAGCTGGACTAAAAACAGAATTCTCCTACCCATCCAGACGGACAACGAGCATTACGAGGTCCTGTATCCGATGGGTAGCATCTTGCAAGTGAGCAGTATCAATGTGAGTGCAATTTGTTTCTTATTTTGCCTTTATAAAAGGCGATTTGTTACTTTCTATCCCATGGAAAGCAACTTTAAATCAATCTAAACACCCTTCCTGAAAAATCCTACAGATTACACTCTTTAAACTAGTGATTTCTTAAATCATGTTACGTAATCGTAAAATATTTGTTATATAAGCTGCTATAATATGCTTAAGTTTAATAATATATTAAATTTAATTAAGCAAGGGCCAGTGAAGCAGTTCAATGATGTATTAGGAGGTTCGTAGCATAAATTTAAATGCATATCATTTTGGAAATATTTACGATAAACGATTTTGCGAACAATGACGTTTTTTAACGAATGCGATAATCAAAATGGTGGTATCGTCCAATTTTTTAAAAACGTTTGAATCTACCAAAAAAAGAGAAAAAAAACGCGGTACGAACGTAACGGTCAGGTGGGCCAAAACAGTCGCCACATTTTGGTGAATGCAAATATGTAAATTGTAAAATTGGGGCAGTGTCCAGTCTATCATGTACCCAATCCATCGCATCCTTTACCACGCAAATGGACCTTTATTTAAATACGCCTCTGCGTAACTACAAAATAACTGATTTTATCTCAATTCACTTTTTTTGAAACATACAGGTTTTTTGCAGGATTAATAATTTGATAACAATAATTTATTTCATATAGAAATCGACAACTTTTTCATGTTTGGTACAAGACGAACTGGTGTCCTCGGAGATGAGCATATCAGTGACGGTCGTCTACGGAGAAGATCCAATTCTCACTTGCCCGGGGGAAAGCCACTTGGACGTGCTGTGGCCGGAAACGGCACCGGGAACTGAAAGTTTGCAGGAATGCCCCAGAGAACATTCGGGTGTGGCGAGAAGGTTCTGCGGGATTCGCGACACCGGAAGGCCCATTTGGCAAATGCCCGACTACAGCGACTGCACTCCGATTGCTCTGCGAGAGGTCATCACTCAGGTAAGGTTGTCACTTATTTTTCCAACAGATTGATAAATCTTTTCCGTTCCACTGTTGTATTAAGATATATTATGTACGATTAATTAACACTTTTTATTTTTTATTACCCTTTAATGAACAGTTTAGCTTCAAGCACTAATTACTCACCAAACCACTAATACCTTTACCACACTCCAAATACCTAACGGACTCCTTTCCATAAAATATTGCACTGTTTTACGTATTTATCTCTTAAAGTAATTACTTTTCGGGTTTAATGTTAGTTATGGTAATATGCTCTAAATGAAATTAGTATATTATTATATGAGCATATAATGAGGGCTATTATTCACGAAGGTTAAGTTTATGTCACNACGCGTATCTCTGTGGAAGAAAATCTTTCTAGTTGGGCAGAGAAAAACGGTTTGGAAATAGACGGTATCGATTTAAATTTATTTGCCACTATCGATGACGATGTTACTGGTTCCATTCTATCTGACACTGAAATAATGTCTAACGTGTTGAATGAAGATAATGAATCTGACGGTGAATCAGATGAAGAGGTAGAACGAAACATATCAAAAAATGAATTTTTAGAAGCATTTTCTAGGGTGACTCGTTACATTGCAACCAACTATGCAGACAATACTGAATGTATGTTCGCATGCGATACAATAAACAAAAATATTTGCCAGGAATTATTACATAAAAGCATAAAACAGAAAAACATGCGAGAATATACTATAGAAGTATTAAAATTTATGTTACATATTACGACAACCTTGGTTATAACGAGGTACCGTCTATAGCGAGCAATTTTTTCGGTCCCTTGACTGCTCGTTATAACCGGTCTTCACTGTATATACATACACAGGTTGTAGTATGGATGTCATTCCACCAGGTATTATTGTTATAACAAGAAGTCTAAACCAAGGACAATCAGTCTATGATTAATTAATATCCTTATTTAATAATCTTCCTGGTCTACGACTCCATACTTATCTTAACCATTCCATCATCAGCTTTTCCATTATCCATCCTTTTTGTTGTGCCCTAACTAAGACGTCATTCGGGAAGTCTTTCGGATATCAGAATGGTTTTTTTCTCAATATTAATAATGACAGCAATTTTTCCCTATCACTTGTTACTACATCAATGTTATGCGCAATTTTTCGCAACCACTCGTTTATAAAGAAATTTCCCACACCTCTTCTTTCCAGTGTGTAATTGGGAGGCATATCCAGATATACTGCCATTTCGTCCGCATTCACAGTTTGAGACAAATTGAAATTTTCTTAAAAATCATTAGGAGCTTTTGGGAAATTGTAGTTCTGCGCCTCAACGATAAATCCACAGTCCAACCTTTGCTGGTATTACAAATTTGTTAGTCCCTCCTTTCGTTTTTCTTGAGAGAACCAGAAAACTGCATCATCAATTTCATGAAATCATCTCTTGTTTGGCTCGGTAAATTTCTTGCACGATGCCTCACAGTCTGCAATAGCTGCTCTGTCTTTCCCCAACAGCCGCAACGTTACTTTCAATAACGGTAAAAATTGTACCAGATTTTAGATTTCCTTCTTTTAACGCTAACTTAATAACATCTCTTTAAACTTCGCTGTACAGGGTGGTCCGTTACTAATGGGACACAGAGCAACAGTGAATTCCTTACATATAATTATTACGATTTAACCCAATTTATCTTAGTCCAATTGTTAATAATAACGAAGATACAGATGGTTAAAGTTAATACTTTATTTTCGTTTTTCTTTAATAATTTCGTTGTCTCTTACATTATGAACATGAAAATTGGTACATTAGTATTTTTTNTTTTCCAACAGATTGATAAATCTTTTCCGTTCCACTGTTGTATTAAGATATATTATGTACGATTAATTAACACTTTTTATTTTTTATTACCCTTTAATGAACAGTTTAGCTTCAAGCACTAATTACTCACCAAACCACTAATACCTTTACCACACTCCAAATACCTAACGAACTCCTTTCCATAAAATATTGCACTGTTTTACGTATTTATCTCTTAAAGTAATTACTTTTCGGGTTTAATGTTAGTTATGGTAATATGCTCTAAATGAAATTAGTATATTATTATATGAGCATATAATGAGGGCTATTATTCACGAAGGTTAAGTTTATGTCACGAGCGTAGCGAGAATACTATACTTTGTCCACGACTATTGAAATTGCTTCCATAAATGTATTTGCTTAATAAATTTTTGAATAAAGCTTAAACGTCAATGTGACACAAATTCAATGTTGCTAACTGTAACTGTTTTATAAAATCGCACAGCGGTCCGAAAACACTCAAAACCCGATCGAAAATCAATTAAAAAAAAAATTTTATAGTGTTGTTTTTTTAAATGTTACATATATTTTAACTATTAATAGACTCTTAGTGAAGCTTATGAAGTCTTTGGTGTTTTATAATAGCTACTGCGCGAAATAAANCGAGTGGCATAATTAACCTGAGTGAATAATAGCTCATTATATGCGAGTAGAATACTATACTTTGTCCACGACTATTGAAATTGATTCCATAAATTTATTTTTTTAAATAAATTTTTGAATAAAGGTTAAACGTCAATGTGACACAAATTCAATGTTACTACCTGTAACCAACTTCACAACAATTTGTCAAAATTAAATGTCAAATTAATTAATTTATGCTTAAATCATACGAAAAAAGGAATTTGTTTAGGTTTTTTTAAACAAACTCCTAAACATTTAGACACTCCTAAAAAATTGAATAAAATTAAATTGACGTTTTTTGAACTTTTAACGTTTCAAATAATTATTATTAGTCTGGTCAAGATGGCTACCCGTGGATAATGATTATTATTCACCGCTATTATTCACTCCGTGAAAAATGACTACCATTTTGTTTTAGAAAACTCATTCATAAGGTATATATTATAAGGTAGTCGTGGACAAAATTATATTATTATATGAGCATATAATGAGGGCTATTATTCACGAAGGTTAAGTTTATGTCACGAGCGTAGCGAGTGGCATAATTAACCTGAGTGAATAATAGCTCATTATATGCGAGTAGAATACTATACTTTGTCCACGACTATTGAAATTGATTCCATAAATTTATTTTTTAAATAAATTTTTGAATAAAGGTTAAACGTCAATGTGACACAAATTCAATGTTACTAACTGTAACCAACTTCACAACAATTTGTCAAAATTAAATGTCAGTTTTATAAAACGTCGTTTTCTTTAGGAAAATTAATTAATTTATGCTTAAATCATACGAAAAAAGGAATTTGTTTAGGTTTTTTTAATGTCAAACATTTAGAAACTCCTAAAAAATTGAATTAAATTGACGTTTTTTGAACTTTTAACGTTTCAAATAATTATTATTAGTCTGGTCAAGATACCCGTGAATAATGATTATTATTCACCGCTATTATTCACTCCGTGAAAAATGACTACCATTTTGTTTTAGAAAACTCATTCATAAGGTATATATTATAAGGTAGTTGTGGACAAAATAAATTATATACTCACAAGATTGTTGTAATCTCTTAACAATTAAATTTGAAAATCTTCTTTTCTGCAACCGAAATCTTAGTGGAACAATGCGGAAATGCTCATAATCCTTAGGCGAGCACGCGGGCACGATAATTAATCCCTTTGTAAGTGTTAATTACCCGCCGACAACTGGGGCGGATGCAAAATGAGAACGGGTTGACGCCCTTCCAGAATCTGACGGACGCCATCGTCACCGCGAAGGTTTCCGCGCCCGTACGGGATTAGAGTTTTGCGGGATTATTGTCAGAGCAGCACGTCTGAGGAACGCAGAGCGTCTGCAGATAGTTTTCCGACAGTTGTTAATCTATTAAGCCTCGGGCTTTACATTGTAGGGTTGGATGTTTTACAATTGCATTACGTTACGGTTCGACTGCAATGAATTAATTGCAGTCGAACACTGCTTGTTAATCAAGGAAGCGGCACCTTCACCAAATGTAACTGCTAAATTATTGAGCTATTGAATAATCCAATTATCGGCTACTAAATTAATTGTATTGTATAGTTAAAAGAGAAACGTGACATTTCAAATTAATTGTAACTGATTCAAAAATTTTATTTCTCAAATTGATCGATAATTTCTATGTTTCTATGAATTTCTACTAGTTTTAGTGGTTATTCGGCTAATTTCGATTTCTGTTCCAGTTTCAAAAATTGAAACACGGTTACTCGTCATCCACGCCGTCAGAAATTTTGATAGGATACTTGCAGTACCTCGAAGGCTTGTCGGACATCCTACCGGGAGTAGGAGCGCGAGTGTTGAGTTTAGTCGACGATGTTATTACATTTATCTCGGACACAACGAACGTCAGCGGTTCGGATGCTACCAACGAGACCACGAAGCAATCGAAAGAACTTTCCACAACCATCCTACGTATTGTAGACAAAATTTTACAATGCAAATATTCCCTCACAAACGAATCGGTAAGTAAAGTATTACAATCGTTTTGTTTCGGTATTATCTATCTCAAAATGCTGAAAATGGTTATTTAATATCACACCCTGCTATTCCCGGTATTTTCTTCGGATGGCAGAAAATTGATTGTTTAAAAATTCCACGCCAGATGCAGTGTCTCGAGACGGAAAATATCCCTTCGCAATGCATCAACGCCGAACCCGTGCATCTGACAAGCTTTATATGCGAACCGAATGCGAATCCCGTTGCTACGCCACCGCTTGGAGAGGAACTAAGAGCGTGGAAGGTCCGGTTATGCCCCACATTAATGGTCCTAGAAAATTCTACCATATGTTTCAACATGTGGGGAAACTCACTCATAAATATGTTAATGCAAAATTTCTTAAATGTTTAGTTTCGCAGAAAAATACAATAATATATGTAAAGTAGAATATACCAAAGAAACTAAAATGATATCATAACCTCTTAATTAATTAATAAGCATTTATTGTTTTTGATAATTACAATTTTCCCCTTAATACATCCTAATATAATATATGTCATTAGTATATTATTTTCACCCTCCACCCTCTTCCTCCATTTCCATACCCTCGGCTCCTCGGCCCAATCCTCCCCTCATCCATCCCTTTGTCTCCTCACCCCCACAACCATTCTCATCCATCGTTTCCCCTCTCCCCCCTCTCCTAAGATCTGCCCTCGGTCCAACTCCTCCTCCCTCAACTCACTGCACCCATTCAACATATGTTCCAACGTTTCCCATTCCTCCCTGCATAGCCTACACCACCTCTCCTCATCGGCCATCCAGTATCTGTTAGCTCTCTCCTCGTTTCCACAACGGAACCTAGCCACCAACTTCTTCCCTTCCTCATCTCCTTCCAATAACAAGTATCTAGGCAGCCCCTCCGTAATTATGTCCCTGTATCTTTCGTTATACCTTCCCTCTTTTATTTGTGTCCTTCTTTCCTGTCTCTGCACATCTCGGTCCCTGTCTCTCAACTCCCTCCACATCTCCCTACCCACCCTTCGTCTACTATTTATCTCCGTTACCGAGTAGCCCGCTCGTCTATAATAGTTGTCTCTGTGTCCTTTCCCATATCTGACCTTTCCCTCTCTAATTTCCCTCCAACACTCCCCCAGGATCCCGCAGCTTGGCCTCCCTTCTATTCTTTCTTCATATTTCACTGCCCTCCTGCCCGCCTCCACCCTGACCTTATCCACCTTTACCTCTTCCCTCACTATATACCCCGGTGTTTCTCTCGCCACCCCAAGCACCCATCTCCAATATCTAGCCTGCACGTCCTCCAGCGGTCCCTGCTCCCTCCATCCCCATACCTCTGCCCCATACATCATCACACTGCTAACCAGACCTTCAAACATAATCTTCCTCGCTGCCACATTCCTTCCAAAGACTCTCTTCCCCCAACCCCATACTTGTCCCATCACCTTATTCGCCTTTTTTGCCATAGCTATCACATGCGACCCCTCCCTGTTATCCTCCCTAAACACATACCCCAAGTAAGTATACTCCCTAACCTCCTCGATCTCCTTTCCCTCCCATCTCCAGTTTTCTGTTCTTTTTCTCCCACCCTTACAAAACTTCATCATCCTTGTCTTCCCCACATTTACTTCCAGCCCCTTCCCCCTAAAATATCTTTCCAATGTCTTTATCATCTCCTTCATCTCCACCGCTTCTCTCGCCATGACCACGATGTCATCCGCGTATGCTAACATATGCACCTTTCTACCTCCCACCACCAATCCTCCCATCTGCCCCTTCCCCAATCTTTCCTCCAGGTCCGCCGTATACAGTGCAAACAGACTTGGGCTCAGCGGACATCCCTGCCTCAGTCCCTTCGTCGTCCAGAACACGTCGCTCAGCTTATCTCCCACTTTTATCCTAGCCATCGTCTCCATGTATATTTCCTTCACTCTCGCAATTAGGTGTTCCGTTATCCCCCTCCTCCCCATCTCCTCCCACAACTTCCCCCTATCCACCTTATCAAAAGCCGCCTTCAAATCTATAAACAGGGCGTACAATTTCCCTCCCTTCTTATCCAGCTCTCTATCTGCCAGATGCTTCAACACGTACACGTTGTCGATTGCTCCCCTTCCCTTCCGAAAGCCTGCCTGCCCATCCGGCAAAATTCCCCCCAACTCCATCTCCTCCTCCAGTCTTCCCAGCAGTATCTTCGTGTATACCTTGTATGCCGAGTCTAGTAGGTTAATTCCTCTGTAGCTCTCTACCCTTCCCTTATTACCCTTTTTATATACTGGGCAAATTACCCCCACTTTCCATCCCTCCGGAAACCCCCCCCCTCTCCATACGCTATTCATCCCCTCCAACAACTTCACTCTCACCACCCTTGATGCTTCCAACCATGCCTCGTTCTGGATGCCATCTTCCCCTGGCGCCTTTCCCTTCTTCAATCCCCGAAGCACTGCTTCCATCTCCTCTTTTGCTATCTCCTCTCCCCCATCTCCCTCATAGCCTCCCAAACCCGTTAGCCTCGTTTCAACCCCTCCCAATAATCCCATAAAGTAACTCTTCCATTCTGTCATGTGTATTTCGCTGGTTATCCTCTCCCTTCCCTTCTTTCTCTTTTTCAGATACCTCCCCTTCCCTTGTTATCCCTCTAATCTCTGCCGCTTCCTTCTCCCTCAGTTCTGTTTTCTTTCCACTGCATAACTCTCTGTATCCTCTCCTGGCCTCCCTATATCTATCCACCCCTATATCACCCTATACCACCCCTATATCATAACCTCTTAATACTTCTTTTAAAATTCAGAAACTTGCTAACTCACCTATTGCTTTTAACTTATAATTAAATAGTTAAATTTGACTTGTCGAATTTATTCGAAAACTTATACATCTACTTACAAGATAAAGGTTTTACTGGATATGAAAAATGAAACGTGTGAATAAAGCGCACTAAAAGCATTTTCCGTCATTAAAATAAATTTTTAGGGCCAATGCGGCATAACTTCAATTACCATTTTTCACGAAGTCCTCGACGCCAGAACAAAAAAGAGTGCCGGAAAGGTTTATGGTTCGGCTTCGAAAGCGTCGTACAATAACTACTAAATTTATTAACCTCTGATATACAGTTAGTATTTTTCCGTAGCCGGTTGCGTTAACACTTGCACTATGGCATTATTCTGGTGTGGTCCGTATGCGTTGGCCATAAAGTTGATTTAGGGAGACCTAGATGGTGTTATGGGTCGTGCACGTTCAACGGGTTGGCAATTAAAAACTCGAGTTTAACTCGGTCTCGATTGCTTTCCGTCATTAACGCAAGGACAGAGGCGTGAGTTGCACATTAATGCCCAATTTGGTTTTTTAATTGTTTTTGTAACACAAGAAGATAAAATCAAAATGCTTAGGTAAACAATTCGCTTAAAAGGATGTTCAAACCGCTCCCTTTAGTAATTTTCTAATCTCTTTTTCGAGTCCGGCCAACAATAGCGCCTTAAAACTCAAATTTAAGTTTATAAATGCACAACGCCCTGGGAAAGACTTTTCGTGGTCTTTTTGTGCTCTTCCGCATGAAACGGCGTCTCGCGAGGGTTTGAATGTGGGTCAGTGTCCTATCCAAGAGGGGATTTCCATCTCGTTCTTTACGTCGCGTCTTACATTTGAAATATTTTATTCAACTCTTATCCCCAATTAATTTTTTTTGCAGCAAATTGTGTTGATGCAGCAAGTGGTACGTAATCAGGCGTTATTGGCAAAGATCGGACAACATCCGGCGCGTCGATCGTTTGTCACATTAGACGTCACATTGGCACCACCTGATAACGATAACGTTGCGACAACGTTTAGAGTACCTTCACATGAAAATAGGTGAGTAACGTGCCTTCGTTTCTCAATTACTATGCCACTTCACGTTCTCGCTATTTCGGTTTTAGTACCCAACTCGGCCATGTCCCATCGTTAGATTTTATACGATGGCGAGGAGCATTGATTTAAGTAAACACTTTGCTATATTTTATGTGGATAAGTACCGAAAATAATGCGAGGAAATTGAATGAATTTATTGTGTTTTAATTACAATTGACAATGTTTTAAAATTGTTTTGTTGTGCACGGTCGAGTGTGTTTGAGTCGAGACTAATTAAAATCAACAAACCGAATATTTGAGATCAAAGAAACAAGAACTGGTTCGGTTTGTCGCTGGTGCGCGTTCAATTTTGTAATAGTTTAGTTTCATAAATAAACACTGCAAGCTTTAAAGTCTAAGCGTAAATAGTTTGTTTACTGTTTCCCGCTCGGACCGGCCGCTATCTGAAAATTCCTTAATTGCTTTTCTTTTCAAAGATTAAGCATCGGGTCTGCTCGTCCATTCATCGTTATCTTAAAGAAGCTTTTCTTCTTCCTTTTTCGAAGCACCAACAAAAAAAAAAGTTCCGACAAGAAATATTGTTCCCTAAAACGTCGTCTCCCGATACCCGTATATATGTGTCTTATACTTGAGCGATGTCGTTCACTAAAAAGAACTAAAAAAGGTACACATTTATTTATGGCGTCGATAAAAGTATTATCGCGTAAAAAAGTTTAAGTTTAATTAACGGATCGATAAAAACTTAAATTAAAAATTCATCAGGATCGGGGACCGTTATCACATCCAAATTGGATGATCATCCGGGCGGAAATAGCGTTACGTTGAAAAATTGGCGGCAATTTGAGCGACGTGACGCCCCGCGTCGTCTTAATAAAGCTCAACAAATTAGATAGCGTCTGCATCGAGCGACCAAGAAAACGTTCGAACCCCGACGGCGTTGCGACGCCATGCGGCGCGATATGGCGCAGCGATGTCGTGACGTTTCATCCTTCATCTTCTGCAACGATTATCAGCTTTTTATATCAGAAAAAGAAGCTAAAAGAAAAAATTCGTTGATAGTACCATTTTTTTTCGTAATATCTAAGATTGTAAGTCATCTTTGTCGTCCAAATATTATTATGCTACAAGAATATTTCATTGATGTCAAATTTGTTTCGAATTCATGATTACTTATTTAACACCTTTACCTCTCATCGCCTTTCCTAATCCCAGATCTTACAGCTGGTCTTGCAGCTTTAATCCACATAGTGCTTTGCTAATTGGCACACTTTAGATGTTTCCTGCTTAACGACATCACTTTTACATGTATATTCTCTCACCTAGTTCTAAATTACTGAGAAACGTTGTCGACATTTTGTTATGTCTTACAATTAAAAAAAGTTTGAAAAAGCTTTCATGCAAAGTGATTTATACTGAACCATTGGGTGAAATTTTCATCATTTCATATATTATACAACCAGACGATCGAAAATACTCGATAATACGAGACGTATTGCCTGAAATCTCACGAGACTGAAAGTTGAGTGTAGTTTTTTAAGGCAATACGTCGAGATTTGAGTATTTTCGATTGTCGTGTTGTATATGGCTAGAGTATTTCATGAATAAAAAATATACATATTTTTTAGTTATTTATTAATAAATTACATTGATTGTTATGGAAGCATTCATGGATATCTCTAAATTAAATAAATGTCAACCTATGCGAAGTGACCCAATTAGATAGCATTTTACATGTATAGCATTTTGATTATAACAAGAGAACCAATCAACCGATTTCGATAAATAATGTCTCATTCGAAAGCTTAATCTTTGGACAATACAAAAGTGGAAATGCCCGATTCGAAATATTTTAGGTTTAAATTTTTTTTATATTGGGGGCTAGACTTTCGGGCGTTCATATGTGTATAAACAACGAGCCGAACACGGTGACATTCTGAGGGCTGTACAAGGTTAACGGGAGATAATTGAAATCGGGCATTTTGATTGAAGAAACTGTGACGAATCGAATGACGTACAGATCTTGATCATAGGGTACATCGTTTACGAGTTATCACCACTTAAAAAAGGTAATTTTTGTGATATTTTCGTGTACCTTCGCATTAATTTGGCGTTTTCGCGGAATTCAAAAGAGATTTCAAATCGGGCAATTCCACATTCGTATTGGCCAAAGATTAAGCTTTCGAATGAG